CGTTTGGGTCGGCCATGAGATCATATAACTCTCGGACTCCGGAGGAATACCTTGGGTGATCATAAATGTGCTCTACAGGTATCTTCGAAGGTGTCTATTGAGTTGGCATAGATCGAGACTGGGATTTGTCACTCTATGTGATGGAGGGGTATCTGTAGGCCCTCTCGGTAATACACCATCACAAGAAGCTTGCAAACAAAGTGACTAAAGAGTTAGTTGCCGGATGATGCATTACAGAACGAGTAAAGAGACTTGTTGCTAACGAGATTGAACTAGGTATGGAGATGATCACAGACATGACGAGGAGCTCTGGAATAGTCCGGAGGTAAAGGTTAATATATGAGATAATAGTGTTTAATCTCCGGAAGGGTTCTGGAGTTCACCGGAAGGGGTTTCGGATGTTCCCGAAATGTTTGGGTACGAGAACACTTTATTTGGGCCAGGGGTAAAGCCCACGCGGCTTTTGGAAGGTGCAAAAGGAAGTTTTGCAGAGGCCAGGGGCCAGACGCCAGGGACCCTAGTGTCTGGGGCCAGACGCCAAGGACCCTGGCGCCTGGTCCTAGAGTCCGAGTAGGACTCTTGCCTTGCGGGCAAAACCGTCTTTGAGGATGCTCTTTCTCCAAGTTTCGACGCCGGGGCTCAACATATAAATAGAGGGGCAGGGCTAGCACCCAGAACAGATCAAGAATCACCAAGCCGTGTGCCGGCAACCCCGTCCCCTTTAGTTTATCCTCCGTCATAGTTTTCGTTGTGCTTGGCAAAGCCTTGCGGAGATTGTTCTTCACCACCACCATCACCACGCCATCGTGCTGCCGGAACTCATCTACTACTTCGCCCCTCTTGCTGGATCAAGAAGGCGAGGACGTCATCGAGCTGAACGTGTGCTGAACGTGAAGGTGTCGTACGTTCGGTGCTTGACTGGGACGGACCATGAAGGTGTATGACTACATCAACCGCGTTGATAAAATGCATCTGCTTAGCGATCTTCAAGGGTATGAAGATGCTCTCCACCTCTCGTAGCTATGCATCTCCATGGATAGATCTTGTGTGTGCCTAATTTTTTTTGTTTTTCATGCAATGTTCCCCAATAGTGGCATCATATGCCAGGTCTATGCGTAGATGATATGCTCGAGTAGAACACAAAGGAGTTGTGGGTGTTGATGTTCATACTGCTTACCACCAACGCCTTATTTTGATTCGACGGTATTATGGGATGAAGCGGACCGGACCAACCTTACATGTCCACGTACATGAGACCAGTTCCACCGATTGATGCAACTTATTTTTGCATAAGGTGGATGGCGGGTGTCTGTTTCTCCTACTTTAATTGAATCAAATTTGACTACGGCCGGTCCTTGAAGAAGGTTAAAACAACAAACTTGATAAATCACCGTTGTGGTTTTGCGTAGGTAAGAACGGTTCTTGCTAGAAGCCCGTAGCAGCCACGCAAAACTTGCAACAAAAAAGTAGAGGACGTCTAACTTGTTTTTGCAGGGCATGTTGTGATCAGATATATGGTCAAGACGTGGTGTGATATACATTGTTGTATGAGATGATCACGTTTTGTA